TTTTGTTTCTACTGAACTCTTAATCTGGTTTGTTTGAACAAGAATGAGAATCCCACAAGTACAATTTGTTTGGTGTATGTTGTGAAGTCTGAAACATGAATATATCTGATTAATTGTTGTATGTTGTGAAGTCTGTGATATGATTATCTCTATAAACATTACGATGTTGTTTTGCTTTGCACAATGCTCAGAAATAGCTTGCTTTGCACAAGATAACGCAACTAACCGTGATATATACGTGTTGGCCTCCCGGCTCAGATATGTGCTGTGTTGTACCGAGTCCAGCATGGTTATGTTCTTAGACCAAGTCCTCTTGCCACCCATCATGTAATCATCTGTTTCCCAAGCCTTGTACAGTTAAACTATATCCACGCAGAAAAGAAACATGTACACCAGATAAAGTTGTCACTGTACTTCACAGCTCCTTGAGGATTCAATCGAAGCTTTCACTTCAGAACCCTGAATGCTTTAAATATTCTCAGTTATCTGTCTTTCTGATTGTTCACCTTTATATTGGTACTGCTGACAATAGATTTTACAATGCTTAAATTGGTATTTTATACGAACACCAATACTAAAATTGTGGATGGTTTTTTCTGATGTTCAGGCACGAAAAGTATGTAAACCAGTACCGTGCAATGTTTGTGTGCAACTGCAAGGTCAAGACTGATCAGATTCTACGGGAGGGGAAAGGAAAAAGGAAGAATCGGAAAGTAACGGCTGTTGATTCTGCTACACCAGAAGTTGCAAACAAGGGGCCAGTTTATCACCCTGTTTGTTGTGAGATCTGCTCAACTGAGGTTGGAGTGTTTGATGAAGATGAAGTTTACCACTTCTTTAATGTCATTCCTAGTAACTCATGAACCTTCTGATGTTGTGAGAATAGTTCTCGTAGTGCTGTTTTTTGTCGATCCAGAGCTGATGTGGTAGTATGTGAATTATTTTTTCTTTTCATGATATCAAGACAAAGTTAAACCTGCCGTCCTTCATGGAAATTATATTCTGGCATCATGGATTTGGATTATCTGAAATGACAGACTTTTCAGAGGGGAAGAACCATCCTTGCAAAAATGGAAGCAAATGGATAAACATGAATTGGACATTGTAGCTTATAGGCTTGAAAAGCAACATGTTACTATCTTCAAGTCATGGCTTAGAGGGAATGTGTCCTTTCCTTTCAAAGTAGGGAGATGTGTTTCTAGAATGACCTATAACTGTATTCAAACTCGACAAAAATTACAAGTACAATGCTTTAGATTAGAGTAGATCTGAGAAATCACAGAGTAACTCTTGTAACAAAGAACTACTCCCTCCGATCCATATTATTTGTCGCTAGAGAGAGTACAAAGAAATTTTTCAGAAACATCTTCTCCATGATATCAATCTTTGGAATACGAAATACGGCCAAGGCTTTAGGGTCAGTCCTTTTGGGTGGCTTAAAAAATAAGCTGTCTCTTCCCAGCTTAAACATAAATTTCTTGAGACTTTTAAATTAGTTACACCATCACTAGTTTAGAAGCCTTAGTGAATAAGAAAAACGGTTTATGTGAAAAGCTAGAGATTAGATAGCTTTTTTTTAGTCTGCCAAAAGAACTGGCCCTAGTAAAGTGAACTACAGCCAAATCGAAACAGCGAAAATGTCACTCATACACCTGCACATACTTCACTACCTTCATATATTTTAGAAATCCTCTTGAGTCGCCCATCCAAAAGGATGAAAAGTCATAATCCTTGAACATACTTAGGTTGGGGATGATCCTCCAGAGATAGATGTTGTCAAACTATAAGATCCTCATCAAAACGCTAAAGAAGGACTCCAAAGTCACAATGAACCACACCAACAACAGCGACAGAAATATCTACCACAAATTCATCAGATCCATATGGAGAAATATATGAGGACATAAACCTAACAGTTTTGCTAAAGCACATCTAAACCTAAAATATAATTGGACACATCTAAACCTAACAGTTTATTGTGGGGATTACTCCATTTACATTTTTTGAGGGATTACTTCACCATCCACTTTCATGTACGGTAGTAGCATCCATCGCATATCGCGGAAAAAAGGTGGTCTCTCACGACCACGCCACCCTGCCTTGGGCTGTGGACAATCAAGGCAGCCATGTCGAACAAGGTTTTCTTTAAACAAGTGTGGCATGGCGACGGTCCGGTGGCAATCAAGCTTGTGATGTTTCTGCACTCTCCCCTTGGAATCGCACTGCAACACGCAGCGCTCGCCATGGACCAGCACGTCTCCCTCCAGCGACACGACTGCCACGCCGGAGAAGCGGTCGATGTGATCCACCGAGAGTGAGAACTGGAGCTTGCAGAACCAGGCAGGTTGCTCGTAGTTCGGCATGACCCAGAGCTGCACCGTCCTCTCCCCGCGCACGGTCATGGTAAGCATGCCCTCGAGCTCCAGCAGCGCCCGTCCGTCCGCATCTACGTCGGATGGGCTCATCCACCGGAACGTCTCCGAGACGGTGTCGAACACCAGCAGTTGTCTGTCGCTCTGGAAGCTCTGCGGCAGCCAGTGCAGGTTGCCGGAGACGAGGGCCGGCGGCGACTCGCAGGCGGGGCGGATCGTATTCTGATCGGACAGAAAGTCGGGGGAGGCAATGCGCCTCTGGACCACCTTGTGGCCCATGGTGAAGACCCAGTGCTCGGCACGACAGAGCCGGTGGGACAACAGGATATGGAAGTTGCCGGAAGGGCGATGCACGTAGAAGCCGATGACGATGCTGCCGTTTTCGGGGAGGTCGGCCCAGCAGCGCGTGGCAGGATTGTATGCATATATGCTCCATCCGTGGGAGATGAGGAGGACGCCGTCGCAGGAGCCGTGGACGTCGAACGCGCTGGGGTGCCACAGCGTCGCCGGATCGATGTGCCGGAAATTGCGGTCCCGTCGCGGCCGCTTCTCCTCGGACTCGACGGCGTGCTTGTGCTCTTGAGCGACGGCGAAACGGAGCACCGGCTGGGACGCGCGAGCGCGGAGGTCGATGCCTTCGATGCGGACGCGCAAGTACGGCGGGTTCAGTTCCGGGGATGCTAGGCTGTCGTCGCGGTAGAGGCGCAGCAGGGGCATGTGCGGCTGATGTCGGCGGTGGGCGTGGGGAAACCGGTCGTCGTCGATGATGCTGCGCCACAGCTTGCAGATGGCGCGGGAACGAAGGACCGCTCGGGCAGGCAGGCGGGAGATGATCTCGGGGATCAGGTCATCCGGGATGCTGCTACGAGTATCAGGGGATTCTCTGTGATCCGCCATGGCCGACAGGGTCAACAACTCAACACGTCGCAATCACGAACTACAAGGATACGACGCGTCCAACAAGGCCAGAGGCCAGGGTATATAATACTCGCTCGCTCCCGATAAAATTGTGTTAGATTTGTACTCGCTCCGCTTTCTAAATATTTAAATATTTGTCCTTATAAAGATTTCAACACGTTCGATTTGGGACTCAAACTCGGATGGGCTGGCAGCTACCCCAGCTGCCCAGCCAACGGAGGTACTATCACCCATGCATTATGTTAGCTTGTAATTTATCTTACCATAATGTTGATGTGATTGTATAGATAAATATTATCAAATCATGTTCGTGATTTATCTTATATTTTGTTGAGAAGTTTAGTAAGTAAATTAAAATGAAATTTGTTCAGAAGGTAAATAGATCAAGTTGATTTTCATACGGCGAAGATTGGAGGAAAGAGTGATGGTAAGAAAAATGAAACATGATCTTACACTCTTTTTAGAGTGAATTCCACATTTTATCCCTATATATGCATTTGTGACACTAATTACCCATCGAGTAAAAATTCGTCTAGAATACCCTTTTTAGAAGCTTTGGGCCCTTTTATTCTGATGCATGTCCATTAGGCAAGGTGTAAGGTGACGTCCGGAGTCAAAAATATCTGGATGATGACGATGAATGAAACAAATGGACAAGAGAAGTCTGGACATGATTGTCAATAATGTCCTTTGATCTTTACACTTTTTTTTAGGAATCATTGGCACAACATGCAGATCTTATCTAATATAAACAAGGAAAATGCAAAATTAAGGTAAAACCGTGTTCCAAAATCTGATATTTCAACAGAAGTTTCACTAAATGAGGCAATATGTGTCACAAATGTACAACTTCAAGGTAAAAAGTGAAATTGACTCTCTTTTTTTAACTTTCAACATTCTGGCTTCACATGATAGAATTGTTTCCAAGGCGTGTATTTCTTTTTTACTTTCTTCGACCAACAAATTCATGCACCAGTAGCCGATGATGCCTTGTAAAGTCAACATGGATTACAACAAGAAGCCAATGGCAAAGCCTGTCTTATCTTAAGCTTGCCATATAGCCTAGAGAAGACAATAAAAATAAAATGTAGAATGGTTATCTCTTATTCTTATCTCTAATAACAAGACCCTCCTAAAAGTATGGTGAGACCACATTGTTGGTAAGAGATCGTCTCTTAATTAAGAGAAGGTGAGTCTTTTCTGCTGATTTCTCTTTCCTTCACCTCAACTAAGATGGTATCGTAGTACATGTGCTAACCTTTTGGCGGGCATTGCCGACTTCTGCATGAAGACCCATAGGAAGGTAAGTCGTTATCCTTACCCTGCGCTGGAGCGATGACTGCTCGTCTGTTTGAACTGATGGCCAAACATATTGTATGGTGCACTACTGTCTACTGTCAGATTGGAGGCAAAAGGTTCTAGAATTTGGCAACCAATTGGATACCAAGACGGCTAATAAGAGGACAATCATGTTTAGCCTGTACAGCTTCTGAATGGCATTGCTTAAGCAGCTCAGGCACCAACTATTCAGAGAGAACATCTGTTTTCTTCATGTAGATACATTTTGGTATCAACACTGAAAGTAATCTGCCAAATTTTGTGGTTTATCTCTGTAACGCGAGAAGTCATGCAATCTAATGCTCAGCCAGACCACCTTGGTGAAAAGAAAGTGAAAAAAAGAAAGAAAAAAAACGTGTTTCAGTTCTGAATCTATTCAACGTTGCTATTTTTGTAATTTGCTGAGACCATTTCCACAAGCTTGTCATGAAGAGCACCGTTTGTCGCCAGAACACCACCCGAAGGATAGATGATTCTATGCCCGGTTAGGTCAGCTCCAAAATCCAATGGTTTCCCGCTCCAATCACATGTCTGTCAGTTTTATCAATTTAGAGACTCATAAGTATAGCTATAATGTTAAGAATCAATAGACAAATGGACATTTCTTGTATCCCTGGCCTAGCAAACGTGACATACCTGACCTCCAGCTTCCTCAACACAAATTACCCCAACAGCATGATCCCAAGCCTATGTGAATAGCCGGAGAAGAAAGGATCAGTACAAGTGCAAACTAAGCCAGCAAGCTGTCTAACTTGTCACACAGTACAACGGAAAATTCAAGCAAGAGGTCACCTTGAGTAGTTTTTCCGCCCGTGCTAGGAGGATAAAAACTGACATTCTCCCACAAGCTACCAAGAGATACTTGGACAAGCTAAAAAAGCAGCAACAATAAGGTCAGATCACGGTAAATCATGTATTAACAAATCGATACGATATTAGTCTAAGATAGTCACTACCAACCTAAGATAGATATTTTCTAGGAAAACTAAAAGCAATAAGGTAGCAGGGCAGCAAAAGAAAGAAAAAGGATGGCTCCATTTCAGATTATGCTAACAACCTAGTAGTGAATAACATCTTTTTGAAATATCCATTGAGAACTTGTTAGGATGGCGATAAAATAACTGCCAATCCTTAAAAAGCCTTGTGCTGATTCACTAGGACCATGTTTAAATTGGTTAGGAAGGTAAACTAGAATGCGTGGATTGTCACGAGGAAACTGCAACATACCTTCCACCGCAAGAATTTTGGAGAAGAATCTTGTTCTCATCTCTCGGCTCAGATTCATCCATTGTCGAGCTGAAGTGGGCAGATAATGGCATCATATCCCAAGTATGGCTATCAACAATGCAGAAGCGTGCCATCTGTGCAACTGAACAGGGATCAACAGAGCATCTCTTCCAAACATCCGGTGCCGTTGTCAATTGGCCAATCTCAGCAGACATGGGCCTAGACCAAGTACCACAGCCTACATGAGACACCATAAGGATGCCATGGCCAGGACAAGCCGCAATACTTTCATCTTCCGTGTCGCCTACGGTAGTCTCGGTCAAATTTGGGCATCCCATCACTCCTACTGCTAACTTTCCATCCACCACAAGAGCCAAACCCACCTAAGGACCAAGCCAAAAAGCTTCATATTGGAAGAAAGAGAGTAAGAAAACAAAGTGACTAAGATCTAATGTTAGAAAACCACTGAGGAATAAATCCTTATCGAACAGTGACCAGATAGGAGGAAACATACTTCGTATTCAGACATGCAAAACTGCTGGATTTTGATACTGAACGATGAGTCAAAAGGAAATGTGCCTCATAATTTTTTTGCATATGTGTTCTTACCCTTGGTTAATCAATGATTTATTTGAATGAAAGACTAGGTATAAACGTCAAGCTACAAACCTCAAAAGTATGACAAACCACATAATGCTGATTATTGCTTTTGATGCATGCATCCGAATTACCAATGCTACAGGTAGTGGCTGACCAAAGTATGTGGTCGCTACTCACTCCGACGGATGCCAGGGGCGTATGGTTACTGGGTCTATCCGGTGAGAGACGGTAGCACGGGCTATCTTCAACCGGTTTGGATGGCGGTCATGTAATAGGATAGGTGTTTAGTTTCCTATCTTCTATATGCCAGTCGGTTGTGGCTTTTTTTTCTTTTCTGTTTTTGCTCTTTGTGAGCTTTGTTTACCTTTTAGACCTGAAGACTTTGTTGAACCTTTTACTTGTTTAATACGCCGCATGCATCGATCTGATGCAGAGGCCGGGGATAACCTCCTTTTCGAAGAAAAAAAAGGTAGTGGCTGACCAAAGTATTGGAACAAACTACACAAATAGTGTCGATACAGATAAATATAGGACAAACCCAGTGCTAGAAGTTCCCACACCAGGTGGGTCCGGGGAAGGCGAAGGATTATATGAGGTAAGCCTTACCCTTGCATGGTGCAACGCAGAGATGCCGCATCGAACCCAAGACCACTTGGCACAAGTGGGGAGTACTTCACCACTGCCCCAGGCCTGTCCATAGTGTCGATACAGATAGGCCTGGGCGTTCGGTTGCACCGATCCGCTCGGTTCGGTTTCTCGGGCTATTAAGGAATTCGGTTTCGTGCTAATGATGACCGATCGGTGCTCTAGAAAGGGTCTGTCTAGGACACATCTATTTTTTTGTCCACTCTGTTTGTGGTCTATTTTTTTGTCCTAGTTTTTTTTTGTTTCTTGTTGCTGCATTATATATTTGTGGGAGCTTAGATGTGACATTTTTAAAAAACATCTAGATGTGAATTAGACAAACTGTTCTGGAAAATATCTAACCGAGCGTTCGGTCAACCGATGAATTCGGTTCGGTCTCGATCTTAACCGAAGTTATCGATGTTCTGCAGCTCGCACTCTCTATCCAGATCGAAGCCGCTGACTCACCTACTGCCAGAGGAAAGCAGAAGAGGCGACTGGCGCTGAGAATAGAGATGAGATGGCGTCGCCGCGTCGGCCGCCGGGATGGAGAGAGAGAGGGTCATGCTGCCACCCGCTGGAATGGGGAGATAGAGAGGAGATGGCGTGGTCCGCCGTGATAGAGGGAGCGACGACATGGAATCTGGTGGCGGCTGCCGATCCACCTTCGCTGGTTGCTGGGGGAAAAGCAGGGCGGCTAGGTTGTTGCCGAGTGGGGATATCCAGATATGTGTGGTCGATGCATGTGGGCCGAGGCAGAGAGCTACGGGGGGATTAGCAAACGTGAATACATAGTCATGCATTGCGTTGGGCCTTCTACAATTTTTGGCCCATATCACGTTTATTCGGTCTGTTCGGTGTTTTCGGTTACGTGATGCCTAAAACCGAGTTGACCGAGATAAATTCGGTTTTGCAGAAGTCATCACCGAAGTTCTGGCCGAAATAATCGGTTCTGGTCTATTCGGTCTTGGTCCCGGTTATTTCGGTTCGGTAGTTCGGTCAACGGTTAATATGCCCACCCCTAGATACAGATAATCCCACAAAAGTAAGCATGGTCAACACGAATGTGGCTACCAAGAAAGACCCATGAGTCCCATGCTTGTTCGATGGGGAAAACATTTTTTGTGCATGCATGAATGTGCAGCCCATAACGAAGTTGTATGCTTGTGCGGTTTTGTAGCATGCTCTAACAATGGCTGTTTTCCAGATTTCAGTAGTGACGTGATCAACAAAATCTAATCATGAGTCATAAAATGCATACAAAGAAACATACCACATACAAAGAATCCTCCCCTTTCAAGAAACCCTTGGTACCATCAATCGGGTCAAGTAGCTACAAAATTAAAGCATCATCTTTATTCACTGGAACTAACTTTTGCAGATCTGGATGTATGATTAATAAAACTTTCATAGCTTACCCAATAAGTAGCAGGATTTGAATCAAAGGAGACAGCATCCTTGCCTCCTCTGTCAATAGCTCTCAGCACATCATCATGAGTTAAAGGAGGACCGTTGTTATTCACATGTTTTGTGAAAAAACTTGAAATGGACTCAACAAGTGTATTACTCTTACTATCAGCAGTATTAGAGGACCGTATAAATGCTGAGTCCTCTTCTGCCACCAGAGGTATCGATGGGAACAGTTGTTGTAGCTCTTCGAATGGGATCATGGTAGAGGTGGCATCAGACAACGGTGCAAAGTGCATATCATATGCTGAACTGAGGAAATGAATTATGAATTACCAAAGCTGATAAGGGCCTGAACTCCAAAATCTGCAATTGTCACATGAGTTTGATCGTTCTTTTCAAGAATCTTCTCGTCACCTACAAGCATTGATGCCCTCACCTGTCAAGGCAATCAATTTAACCAGCAAAATAAGCTCAGGTTGCTCGATTATTTTCAGCGACATGTCGGAAAAACATTTAAAATTTAAGAAATCATAATTGGATGATGGATGATAAATTGGCAACTCTAAAAGTTGAACATTCGGGTTTAGTATAGTCTTTTTCCTCTGAAACCTCTGTTGTTGGTAAACCTGACTAAAACAAAATTGTTTTTCTGCTGCTAAACAAGGGTAATTTTCTGATAATGGCTAAATCGTATCTGTTCCAATCTTGTTCTAGACATGATTTCAGTTTCCTGTCACAGACATATTAAATTTGCAATGCACTATGACCTATCCTGGCTATTGGAACATTTTGAATGACTAAAGTGGTGCTCTAGACACGTTTAAAAAAAGTTTCATAAGCTGACATAATACTGAGCAGACTACATCCTGCTTCAAAATATTGGTGGTTCACTCTGTGCTATATTTTCCTGTGGCAAACTTTATGCCAGAGAAGGAACTTCGCACACGGGAAGTCTCATGGTTTTATCAAAGCTTCTCCATGTTGGCATTGCTGAAGATCAACATTATGGAGCTCCACACAAAAATGCAAATTAGTTGATGATTTGTAAAATCGCTGCTCAGCTCTGTAGCCGACTAACTAGCTGAGTTTTCAGTTCAGGAAAAAATCTACTGCAACTGAGCTTTGGAACGCCCAAAATCCGCACACACAATGCCGGAATCTGACTTTACCAAAGGACCATATCAGTTTATTAGTATTACACTACTACCGATATCACCGAACGGAGATTAGCTTAGCCCCACGCCCAAATCTGACAAGCCTCCAGTTTCTCAAACGGACACATCCAAAGGAGAGGGGACGGTCCCTGGTTTCCCTTTTTTATCTCTTAATGCCGTTTAGGCTGAACTGCTCCTCTAAGTGAGCTGCTGTATAACTGGAGATCGCGTTTGGTTTCATGCTGGTAATGGAACCGGGGAGGGAAACCTCCCTGTTCATCTAAAAAAAAAGGAGAGGGGACGAGTTGAACTCACATCCACGCAGAGGCGGCAGGCGCGCTCGACGGAGGCGACGGCCGCGGCGAGCTCGCGGTGGTGGGAGGCGCGGTCCGGCGGGAAGGGTAGCGCGCACACCTCATGCGCGACCGGTGCCGCCGCCGCCGCCCTGTGCAAGAACAATAAGGGGTGAGCCAAAGAGGTGGCGGCTTGCTGTCAGAACTGACATAGTTGGGGTTAGGATAGTTCGGAGGTCGGCGAGGGCACGACCTTACGGAGAGGCGGGAGGGAGGATGCACCGGCGGGGCGATGAGCCTGCACTGCCGGACGACGAGGAGGCGGTGCGGCGGAAGCGAGGGGTGGAGGAGCGGCATGTGTGTGTGCGTGCGCGCGTGTGGCGGGAGCAGAACGGCCGACTCTTTTTTTGCAGGGATGCGTGTTCGCATGGACCGCCAACGCGGTACGGGATAGGGATTACGTGACGCACAGATGTTGAGCCTGCTTGTCCGAGTCTGCACCACTTCCGTCCCCTTCTGAAAAATATTTTTTTTGGTCCATCTCGCTCCAGCTAAGGTACGATATGATTGTCCCTAAAAAAAAGGTACGATATGATTGTGTCCTGCTGATATCTCTACTGCTGCTATGATCAGCAAATTTTAAACCTGAATTTGCCGCTGGCCCTGACGTGGACCACTTCTTAGCCGTTGATTTCTTTCACAAAGTGAATGTGAATTGATACTGCTTATCAATTTATCATAGCAAACACAACCGATCCAGTGGTTCTAATTTCTGGAATTCGCTGAATGAGCTCGCGCGTCAAAATGAGCTGTGCTGGATTCTTCTGGACTTGTCCACACACTACACCTGCACACCTCCTGTACCCTCACGTGGTGGTGCTTAGAAAAGGTTCATTGTGATTGTTTTCTTACGTACTCATCATTTAAAGACATACGGTATCTCTTTTGCTGCCTAAGGGCATGTGCAATAAGGGCGGCCCCATAACAAAAAGTAGTTTAGGACATCTACATTTATTTTTTCTCTCAAATGCAAGCTACCAGCAAACTTCTTGCGACGGCCGCTACTAATCAGTGGCTGATGATGGGGCACCCCGAAGCCCCTTTGGTGGATCCATGGATCAAGCTGAAGATCACAGACGATGCACTGGGCTTTGCCTCTCCTTCCAAGAAGCGAGAGACTGGAACAACAACATTCTCAAGCCCGATCTCAACCCTGACGGCCACCTGGTCGCCTCAAGCTGTGGCTGCGCCCCCGCTGAAGTCTCGCAAAGCCTCCCAAGAATTGCTTGCGCTATGTGCATGTTGTGTTCCTCGCGATTATGTCTGCATGCTTGATGTAATTTCCTTCTCCTAGATCTTCCCTGAACTGCTCCTCTCAGTGAGTTGATGTATCCCTAAACGACTTTGTGGTTTCATTCATATAATGGAACGGGAAGGAGCCCCTTGTTCTTCTAAAAAAATGCAAGCTACCACTAATAGGTCTCATTAAGAAATAGAAAATAAAGACTCTAGTACACATGCATCTTTACTTTTCACGCCAACCTTTTTCAGCTTTTGACACTGAACCACATTTTTTCTCTCCAAGCACCTGTCTCCCATAGAGGATCCTGCTTCTCTATCCGGTCCTACATGGCATGTGAGGCATCACCCTGGGGCTATGCATCGTACATGCCCTAACAAAGAGCCTACTTGTATAGCATGTGCCTTCTACTAGTATAAATAGTCCGGTAGCAACGATGTCATTTGCACTCAAGGTTATTGAGGGCATGTACAAAAGAGGCATCACCTTCCTAATGCCTCACCTCTTCCACCTAAGTAAAGATAGATGAGGCACCATTTAGTTTCTCAAACACTCAACGCATAGAGCTGCCCCATCAAGCCCATGTATGACGTATACAACCTTGCTTTTTACCTTACTATACATGCACACAAGGAGAAGCTACCTCACACCGTCTCTCGCCTTTGCCCTCTCTCTCTTGCTTTTGTCACTAGGAGGCTACTTCCTCTGCAGGATCACGCTTTCATCTGCAAGCTACTGGTTGTGCCTACGTGGACATATTAGAGTGACGTCAAGCGCTGGGGCAGCCGTCCACAGTGGCGCGTTGGCCATGCCCTGAGTGATAGACTAAAAGCAAATCTAGCAGAGTCACGTGTTGATAGTCTTCACATACCATCCATCAAGCTGGAGCCGATTCTCCTCGAACGAGAAGGAGCAAAAGTCGTCCTCCTCGCCATCGCAGTTGCAACAGACGAAGAGTTTGCTCGGCTGATCGAGATCGTGCTTGAGTGGACGATGATCGACCGAGGGTCGGCGTCGCAGTCCCCTTCATGCAACCGCGGTGTTCAAATCAGACGTCGTGCGAAGGAGGAGTCGCCATCCTTGCCGCGTGGCCACGGTATAGATCAGACGTCACATGAAGGAGGAGCCTCCCTCCTTGTTGCGTCGCCAGCTGGGCAACTCTTGGCGCCAGGTCATCGTTGAGACGAAGCCCGATCACCAGCCATCCAAGCAACGTCCGCGCATGGAGTGCTATCTCCCAGGCACCAAAGTCGGCGGCGCATTTGAAGGAAATATGCCCTAGAGGCAATAATGAAGTTATTATTTATTTCCTTATTTCATGATAAATGTTTATTATTCATGCTAGAATTGTATTAACCGGAAACTTAGTACATGTGTGAATACATAGACAAAACAAAGTGTCCCTATTATGCCTCTACTTGACTAGCTCGTTTATCAAAGATGGTTATGTTTCCTAACCATAGACATGTGTTTTCATTTAATGAACGGGATCACATCATTAGGAGAATGATGTGATGGACAAGACCCGTTCGTTAGCTTAGCATTATGATCGTTACAGTTTCATTGCTACTGCTTTCTTCATGACTTATACATGTTCCTCAGACTATGAGATTATGCAACTCCCGAATACCGGAGGAACACCTTGTGTGCTATCAAACGTCACAAGGTAACTAGGTGATTATAAAGATGCTATACAGGTGTCTCCGATGGTGTTTATTGAGTTGGCATAGATCGAGATTAGGATTTGTCACTCCGTTTATCGGAGAGGTATCTCTGGGCCCTCTCGGTAATGCACATCACTATAAGCCTTGCAAGCATTGTGACTAATGAGTTAGTTGCGGGATGATGCATTACGGAACGACTAAAGAGACTTGCCGGTAACGAGATTGAACTAGGTATTGAGATACCGACGATCGAATTTCGGGCAAGTAACATACCGATGACAAAGGGAACAATGTATGTTGTTATGCGGTTTGACCGATAAAGATCTTCGTAGAATATGTAGGAACCAATATGAGCATCCAGGTTCCGCTATTGGTTATTGATCGGAGATGAGTCTCGGTCATGTCTACATAGTTCTCGAACACGTAGGGTCCGCACGCTTAACGTTCTGTGACGATTTGTATTATGAGTTATGTGATTTGATGACCAAAGTTTGTTCGGAGTCCCAGATGAGATCGGGGACATGACGAGGAGTCTCGAAATGGTCGAGACGTAAAGATCGATATACTGGAAGGCTATATTCGGACATCGCAAAGGTTCCGAGTAATTCAGGTATTTTTCGAAGTACCGGAGAGTTACGGGAATTCATATTGGGCCTTAATGGGCCATACGGGGAAAGGAGAGAAGGGCCTCAAGGGTGGCCGCGCCCCTTCCCCATGGACTAGTCCGAATTGGAATAGGGAAAGGGGGTGCCCCCTTCCTTCCTTCTCCTTCTCCCTTCCCTTTTTCCTATTCCATGTGGAAGGTAGAATCCTACTAGGACTAGGGAGTCCTAGTAAGACTCCACACTTTGGGCGCGCCCTATGAGGGCCGGTGTCGGTGTCAAAATCGGCGGATCTCGGGTAGGGGGTCCCGAACTGTGCGTCTAGGCGGATGGTAACAGGAGACAAGGGACACAATGTTTTTACCCAGGTTCGAGCCCTCTCGATGGAGGTAAAACCCTACTCCTGCTTGATTAATATTGATGATATGGGTAGTACAAGAGTAGATCTACCACGAGATCAGAGAGGCTAAACCCTAGAAGCTAGCCTATGGTATCATTGTTCTTGTCCTACGGACTAAACCCTCGGGTTTATATAGACATCGGAGAGGGTTAGGGTTACACAGAGTCGATTACAATGGGAGGAGATCTATATATCCGTATTGCCAAGCTTTCCTTCCACGTCAAGGAAAGTCCCATCCGGACACGGGACGAAGTCTTCAATCTTGCATCTTCATAGTCCAACAGTCCGGCTAAAGGGTATAGTCCGGCTATCCGGACACCCCCTAATCCAGGACTCCCTCAGTAGCCCCTGAACCAGGCTTCAATGACGACAAGTCCGGCGCGCAGATTGTCTTCGGCATTGCAAGGCGGGTTCCTCCTTCGAATACTTCATAGAAGATTTTGAACACAAGGATAGTGTCCGGCTCTGCAAAATAAGCTCCACATACTGCCGTAGAGAGAATAATATTTACACAAGTCTAATCTGCTGACGTATTTCATAGCGTGACATCACGCCACAGCCAAGCCTTTATTCGAATCGTTTTTACTGTCCCACCTCAGCGCGTTTTGCGAGGCAGTTTCCTTGGCACGTCTTGTCGAAGCAGAGATCGTGTCCCCTTTATTTATGGGATCCTCATCATTATGGACATGGGTAACCCAGTCGTGCCCATTGGTATATCCCCTCGATCAAAGGTAAGTCCCAAACGGTCATGGGGAGGGCTCTTGGTATTCAACCTCTTATAAAGAGACCAAGGCTTCACTCCTTTCTTCCGATCTTAATCGAATCCGCCCCTCGCCTCGAGTTCCAACACCCAAGGCTCCAGATTTAGGCGCTTCGGACCTTCGACAATGTCCGGCTCCGACCTTCGAGGCCGATGGATGCCTTCCTCCGTCACGGAGGAAGACGTGTTAAAGCTGAGAGAGGCCAGGTTTTTGACCGGCGAAACCTCGCATAGGCTGCCTGCTCAAGGGCAGGTTATTCCCACTCCCAAGCCTGGTGAGAGCGTGGTGTTCGTGTCTCACTTCCTCCGAGGGCTAGGCTTCGCGACGGATCCTTTCGTGAGGGGACTCATGTTCTATTTGTTGGGTAACGTAGCAGAAATTCAAAATTTTCCTACGCGTCACCAAGATCTATCTATGGAGAAACCAGCTACGAGTAGAAAGGGAGTGCATCTACATACCCTTGTAGATCGCTAAGCGGAAGCGTTCAAGTGAACGGGGTTGATGGAGTCGTACTCGTCGTGATTCAAATCACCGATGATCAAGTGCCGAACGGACGGCACCTCCGCGTTCAACACACGTACAGCCCGGTGACGTCTCCCACGCCTTGATCCAGCAAGGAGAGAGGGAGAGGTTGAGGAAGACTCCATCCAACAGCAGCACAACGGCATGGTGGTGGTGGAGGAGCGTGGCAATCCCGCAGGG